CCAACACCTGCTCCACAGAAATATGTAAGATTCCTCACAGAAAATGGTTTCTGATGCTTAGAGCTCTTTTTGACAGGATTTGCTACCTTTGGTGCTTCTTAGTAGTTAACAACTGGCTTAAGCATGGAAACATTGGTTTTACTATGTTTTCATTTAGTAAAACATATCTCTGGTCATTCTTGTCATGTATCTAAATTCATCTCTGGATATCCATGTGACATATCTAGAGCATCTTTTCTCCAGCAGAGCCCTAAAGCATATTATGCGTTATATTCTTAGACCGTTATTGATGCCTAGACATCTCCAGAGTGTATCTTAGCATGGATTGTCTTTGTCCAGTGACAGGAGAAATGCGCATTTATGTAAAGTGGTGTGGGATTTGCAATGTCACGCACGGTGGAAGGTCTTGCTTAACAGCCTACTTCATATTGTCGACTTTATTTATTTTGCAAGGACTCAAAAACCCTAGCAAGTGTTGAGTCTGCGGTTCCATGGAAACTGGGTATTCCAAATTGAATGCTTACACCGCTAACACTATCCTCCAGACAATCTCTTTACAAATGATCAGTAATATGAAGATGCCTTCTTTTCATTCATCCGTTCATTTTAGTTTTTTCAGAATAAACTTGTTTTCCATCAAAATGTGTTACCTGCATCCAGAAGAAAATTGGGATGGGCTGCACATACTGATTCTGGTAATACTTACAGCAAGTTATGAAATAGAAAAATCACTTAAAATGATGGTGCTTACCCCGTTCTGTGTCATACAGGTACACAAACTTTTCCCACTTATAATGAGCCAAGAGACTCAAGATGGCTCCTTTTAATGCTGGCCGCATCTGGATGACAAACTGCACATCTGCATCTGTTGGGAAGCTGGGTGTGACGAAGGATGTGTGAAGGGCTCCACAAAATGACGTCAGTGTGTTCATTGACATCTGGTCATAGAATCCAAAGATGGCATAAACTCCTCTGGAAAACTGTGAACAGACTAACAAAGACAGACAGGGGTGTTAAAATCTGACATACAATGAATGCAAACAAACTTTCAAAATATATTTGAAGTAAGCCTTCTAAGCAATCCTGAAATTATTCTGTATGATGTAGCAGGTGGAATGAATTCATGAGATTGTATATACTAATCTCAGTGTAGCTGTGAGTTGTACCAACTTTGTCACAATTAAACTGGCCTGAGCACATTTTTGATTGTGATTTGTCCTGCTATATTGTTATAATCCACTAATCTCTCCATATTCTTTAAAAACAAACATGGGATTACATTTCTTGCCTGTAAAATACTTTCCCTCCCTTGAGTAGCACCTTGAGAGCTCTGTTAGCAGCTACGTAACAAATGTCAGGTCTGCCTAAAAGTCAGAACATTAAGATGTAGTTTTCCCTGGTATCCCCACCTTGATTCAGATCTGATTCAAAGAAATCTGGATGTTTTATTCCTTTATAGTCCACAACTCTGAAATCTCTGCATCAACTCTGGGTGTGGTCTTTTTCAGTGAGGAATTATGGTGGCTTCTTAACGGAGTGTTAAAATCTTTCAGAAGCAATTTGGAAAGTATATGGCTCATCGATGACAACACAAATGAGGAAACACATATTGTTGCTTCATGGAACAAAAGCTGATATCCCTTGAGCTGGAGGCTTTTATTCATTAACCATTCTGGTGTCCTGAGGAACTCATCTAGTACCAGAAAATAATCAAAATGCAGTCAAAGGTGTTTTGTTTCACATGTACTTATCTGGGGAAACACTTCATTTCCGATACTTTATAGAGATCGAACAATGACCATTTTGGACAAAAATTAAAGTATTTCCATTTATAATCATGGTCAACTTCATGGGAGTTGCAGGGAAAAGATTTTCTTTATTGCTCAACTCTGCAGGAAGAGAGCAAACTTGTGGGTTCTTTCCATGGAGGACGACTGCATCAGAGCCAGCAAGGGAGCCTGATACGTGAGATGCTGGGGCTCCGGTTCATAATAAAGATCGTACAACTGAAATACACTACAGCATAGCAGCACTTCCAAATCAAAACATTTCTGGACTGAGATGAGCAAGTCCCATTTGTAATGAAAGTAAGTTTCCCAGAAAAATGTTCATTCAACATTAACAATTGCGCTTGTCAAGAACTGGATTTAACAACAATTTTCAGCTAGCCCCATTAACCGCTTTTGCCAAAACGCTGCATATTTAACTCCGCAAAAAGCAAGGGGAAGTAATTACCGGTAAAGAAGACATGACTTCTACACAGAAACACGCAGCATCGTTACTTCCGCAAGTACCATCATGAAACATTTCCTACCATAAATGCTACCATTCAGAATCACTAAAGCCTGTTAAAGTAATTTAAAAAAGGATTCTCCATATCAGCTCATTGACACAGCATCATGGATAACACCTCAAATAGGTAGTCAGGTGTGAAAATTCGATTTTCTTCCTGGAGATCCAGATGCAAAAATAGAAATGCTATTAAGGAATTTCTCTAAGTGTTTAAGCCACTGTAACAGGACATGACCAGTCGTGGATACCAGCAGCAAATAACAGCTGGTGTAGACAGAAAAGAGACGCACATGAGGCACAGAGAGGGAATAAGAAGTAGTGATTTCCGAAAGAAAAGTTTGCGGAAGTTCTCAACCACAGTAAAGAAAAGATATAAAAGAAGTTATAATGCAGCAAGAATTTATTCCCAGAGGCATGACTGAGGAATTAAATACACTGTTCCAAAAGGCATTTTGTTAAACTAGATACCAGCAGGATATAAAGTAGAAAAGCTACCATAAAAATTATCTGCTGAAGTAACAAATAAAAGGCACTAACTTACAGGTGAAAAAAAAGGGAAAAATAAAGACTGCATAGAAAGTCTGGCAGTCTCCAAATCATTTCAATGGCACGTAAGCCCCCTACCTCCATGGGACTAATCACTGAAGTGGGGCTAGCAGAGCTGGGCGTCCTCACACACACTGAGTCAGTACCTCACAGATCAGGCTCCTTTTACATATTTATTAATGGCCTGGTTTACGAGTTTTTTTATGTAGATTCTCTACTGCAGAGAAAGCAGAGAAGAGCAAGTATTCCAGGAAACATCCCTTCTTGCAATGCAAACAAAACACGTCCTCAAATATCTCCTGACCCTAAAAACCCAGCATATTTCAAATGGCCGGGGGTTCACCCGTTGGTTCTTACCAGGTGTAAGGCTCAGGAATACTTTTGAACTGTGACTCCGCTGAAATCTCTCAGATTTACAGGGACACAGTATCTGAAAAAAAAAAAGAGTCACAAGGGGGCTCAGCAAGCCTACCACGCTATCTAAGGGTGGGATTGTAATTAAGAATACAGATTAGCTCTTATTAGGACTGCTAGTTCCTACATCCTGGGGAGCCAGCAGAGAGAATAGGTGCCGTGCTAAAGGTAACCGCCAGCGGCTGGCTCCAGCACGGACCAGCTCCTGTGCACGGGGAACCAGCTGGGAACTGGTCTGGTTTGTGCTCTTTCTTGTTCTTAGAGATAGGGCACCTAGGCACTGTGGTCAACAGTCTGAAAATGGTTCAAGGTCTTTGTCCTTTGGACAAAATTCTGTCTTGCATGACTATTTTAAAACAGCGAATTAAGGTGCATCTGTTTTCATAGCAGAATGTGCTCATTCACGCAAAGAACCCATTCTCAATTTGTGAGTAACATGAGAAAAAAAATCAGAGTGCGTGAACAACCTGACAGTAAGCAGGACCTCCTCCAAACAACACCTAAGTGCCAACATGGAGCTGCTCCTTGCATGGAGCATCCCAGCGCAGGCGAGAGCTTCTGATTTGGTCTTTCAGATATTTGCAATTTTTTTTCCTAAAAATTCTGGAGGACCACCAACAATATCTAACAAGTGCATTCCCCTGCACAGTCTTATTTCTCCTGATTCAGGTTTGTATTCACTGCAGATCTTTAAGATTTAACACTTTTACAGACTGTCTTCTATTAATTTTGAAAAATCTTCATCTCTGAAGCTCCTCTGCTTATTTCTTATAGCTTATTCTTCTTGACTGTCTATTCTGCATGCACTGTAGGGTGCCAATTCAATTTCACTGGCCCATTCAAAAGGCAAACAAACCTTTGTTTTTATAAGGAGAAGCTAAAAGGCCAATTATCTTGACCCAAAATGTTCATTTGCACTTTCAAACTCACAATTTTATTACAATATTGTAACATTAGGTCTTTTGTTTAGTTTGTGACCTAATCTCCTATGTGATCAGATGAACCTACTGAACATCCATGAACCCATAGCCTTATTGTTACTTGTTTTCCAAAAATATAATTACATTCATTTTAATTACATTATTATTCTAACATCACTGAGCCATAAGCAAAATTTGGAAAAAAGCTAACTAACAGTAGTTTCAACAAACTACTTTCTATTGACAATCAGAACAATCCTCATGTTTGAGTAAGAATTTTGGTATTTTTCCTAAATTAATCACAGTTGATTTATGTTTGTTTTTCCCTATTTGAAAAATGCAGATGGTCAAACACATACTTTGGCTGTTAAAGAAGCGATTTGGACAAATCCTGATGCAACCTCATTCCTCTAAAAAAAAAAAAAAAAAAAAAAAGGCAATTTTTTTTTTTTTTTTGCTGAGCTATGCATTTATGAAACTGCTCTTAATTATAGTCGTTAATACTGTGGATGTGCACCCATTTCCAAGGACAGCACATAGCCAAGTGGCTTTATAACCTGATCTGAAAAAGCTGCAACCTCCACGAAGAAGGAACAGAGGTCCTGAGCAGCGGTTATCCGATGGGGGATCATAACAAGCCGTTATTTTGGGTGCAGTGTGAGTATTTATTAACGGAGACTTAACCCTGGGCTTGTTCTCAGTGTAAGTTAGCTGCCACATGCCATCATTTTCAGGAGAGGAAGGGATGGTGTGACAGAAGCCTACGAATTCTCAAGCATGTCAAGAGAAGGTAAGGAACTTCCAGGTCATGAGAGACTGAAGCGTTCCCTGCCCAGGAAGCCAGAGCAATCACAGTGGTAAACAGAATTTGCTTTACAAAAAAAAAAAAAAAAAAAAAAATCCTCTTCCCATCACCATACCCTGCAACTAAGTACTCATTGAGCTTAACCTCAACCTAAATAAAGAATAGTCTTTGTTTCTGCACTGAAGAGCAGCTGAGCCATCCTAACATCAGTGGTGTAACTCAATGAACCCCAGCCTTCTGTTTTACTAGCAGTTCCATCTTCCCTCCAGTCAAATCAGCCCCACCACAGAAACTTGCTAAGATTAACCAGACATGACTTTTTTTTTTCCACTCAGACCCCAGGAAGGCTCCAGGCCAGAATCTCAAAAGAGGCCCCATTTCACACAAGTTATTAGATGTTTTGTGTCTTTTTAAAATTTATTTTTTGCTTTCTAATGGTATTTAGTTCTTCTACCTTTTAGTGACTGTGAGTATTCCTGACACAGCAAGGTTGTATAGGCTCTGACATTTCTACTGTCTATTGCCTGGAAGCTAAAGTCAAAACTTCTCCGACACCTTTTTTTTTTCCCCATCTTTTTTTTTTTTTTTTACTTCCAGTTCTTACTATAAACAACTGAAGTGTTACTAGGAACACTTACAAGTAGGTTTGGATTTTGCTTGTTTAAAGAAAAGATATATAAAGCCAACAAAAGAAATGTGTTAATGGGTGGATCTTAATCCACCATTTCCACTAGATTATATCATTAACGACCGACTTGTCGACGTGGGCAGGATCCTCCCAAGCATGGCATACAGTGCGCTTCTGCCCAGGGGTGTACCAGCCTGGTAGTTTTGGAGTCAGGGGTTGGAGGTTACAACACCTCAGAGACTAGTCCTTCTTCATTACTGTCTGTATGGACAAGTAATTTCCCCTTTGTTCACAGCAATTTCTTACAAAATAGGTCTGACAAAATTAACCTATGTCAAAGGGGCACCAAAAGGCCTGCTTTATTGATAATTATACAGCTCTTTGGG